TATACTAGAAAGCAACCAGCAGTATGTTTGAAATCGGTTAACCAGCAAACTAATTTTATTCATGAACAATTAGCGAAACTTGACAAAGTAATGCCGAACCATCCACAATACTAATGGTAAACCTCCAGTCTCTTATGAGACCTTTAGTTCTGTATAGCCATATAGCTATATATATCGCTCAGTGGTCTGGAGGTTAAGCGCTCCTGCGCGAGATTGATACGTCCTGGGTTCGAATCTTGCGAAGCGGGATAGTGAACATTCTTGAAACCACACTATATTTACACTATTCAAATGAAACATATAACGTGTGTAGTAAAGATTTTATTTGGCAGATGACTGATAATGTATTGCATTTAAATGCTTAAATATCATAACAAGCATAATGTTAGACAAAATACGTTATTTTAGTATTGACTGTATTCATGAAACTTACATTTAGTCAACGTTTACTCAACTCATAGTGTTACATCTTAATGAAGCGAGAAGCAGAGACCAGTGGACTTCAACCAGGTCTGTTGTAAGATAGTAACTCACTGATGACAATGGTGAATGTGTCGCTCAATCTCGTGGATTATTTCATATACATAGTTCCCTTTATCGTTTTGTAAAGAGCAAGAACAAAGATTCTATCAGAATAGCATGAATTCATTTTATTTCGTAGGTTCTCGTCAGCTGCTTACAACCTGTGATATTTAAAATTCATAATTACATAATGGGTTTAAATTGCTAACTGAATATTGTAAATATATACTTTATGTGAGAGAATATTGAACGTTCAATTTATAGAAAAAGTAATTGGAATGACCTTTACCTGAATTTCAATAGTTTCTGTCCAATTAGTTACAAGAAGTCGTTGGTTAAAACACTATTTTACTGGGCAGAGAAGATATGTACCACCGACAAACTGGAAGAAGAATTAATGAACGTAGAAAAATGTCTAAAAGAAAACTTTTATCCACAAAAGTTTATTGACAAATATAAAATGCCCAAGGAAAAGAAGACGGTAATAACTATGGTCAATAAAAAGCAAGTATATATAAATCTTAACTTTAAAGGTGATGACGTCGCACAAATTATCAACAAGAAACTGAATACAGCGCTAGCCAAAACTTATCCGGTTGCTAAACTTTTAATTCTCTATAAAACAATATGTTCAATAACCCAATCAAAGATCGACAAGCAACCCTTACGTGTACCTGCCAATGCAGCTACATCAGCCGAACTGAAAGGAAAGCATATCTTAGAATTTTGAACATGTTCCAAAGCGTCTTAGAACAAGGGAAAGAAAGACTCTGAACAGTGCAATCACCAAAAATCTCCTCGATACCTTACAATCATTTAGGGTGATTAGTAAGCAGCCAAACTACAGTCTTCTGAAGTTTGCTGAAGCCACTGCCATCAGGCGTCAAAAACCTGACCTATGTATTCAAAAGGAGACGGTGGTTAATCTTTCCTTGCCATGGTGACAAATATATTCCTTCACTGCACCTTAAAAATTTTTTTTCTTTTTTTTCCTTTTTTTGCATTTATTACATCATTGAATCTATTTTATTGTTTCAACTATCTTTCAAATTAATGATCTTTCAACTGAACTCTCTTCACTACATTTCTTCAATGTTATTCATTATGTAATCGATTGTTTCTAACCCACTTTTGAACTGTTGTTACAATTAATGTTGTAGAATATTCTCTCACATTAAGTATATATTTACAATATTCAGTTAGCAATTTAAACCCATTATGTAATTATGAATTTTAAATATCACAGGTTGTAAGCAGCTGACGAGAACCTACGAAATAAAATGAATTCATGCTATTCTTATAGAATCTTTGTTCTTGCTATTTTCTCGTGGATTATTTGAAGTTAGACATTAACACCGCTGGTTGCCCGCTCAGCGGTCTAGTGTACAAGCGCTCGCGTACAAGACTGATAGGTCCTGGGTTCGAATCTTGCGGGGGCAGGGTCGCGGATGCGCACTTTTTAGGAGCCTCACAACAGCAAGAAATGGTCGTCCAGTGCTTCCAGGTTTTTTATGGTGGTCTAGTTTCAACTGACTCATGATCTTAAACATTGATATTACTATAATATGCACAATACCCCTTCTGATATGAACTATATAATATGTATATACATATTTCCTTTATGATAAGCTTTTATTTGACTTATTGTTAACCGTTATATGATTTCCTAGTCTCAAGTCAAACTCAATCTATTAGTTATAGTTACTCATTATCGCAGCCACGTTTTGGTTTGAACCTCTACAAACATTTTATTCTATTTTATAATGCGATGTAGTTTGATTTTGCTTGTTTATAAACTAATTATATTTGAAATATATCAATAGATAGAACTGTGACTGTTATTTGCGTGATTTAAACCGAGGAGCGCGATGCTTACTGCTAAGGAGTTAAATACTAGAAAGAAATGACCATCCATTGCTTTCAGGTTTTTCATGGTAATCTACCTTCAATTGAATCATGGAATGCTGGCCGGCTCAGTGGTTCAATGGTTAAGCGCTCTCACGTAAGACTGAAAGGTTCTGGGCTCGAATCTCGTGGGGGGCGGGATCATGGAGGCGCGGTGTTGAGGAGTCTCATAGTGTTTCCAGGTTTTCCATGATGGTCTATCTTCAATTGACTCATGATTTCAACTATTGAAATTTTAAATCAACAAACTTTATACTCTATTGGATTATCATTTATTCAACATTCGAGAATTCAGATTGATAACGGTTTCAAATACTTGTTATGGTAATTTGTATAGTGTATTGTTCTAAGTATACACAGTATGAAGAGTCTTCTCGCAAAACATCTAGAAATTAATTGTAATCCATCCTTATTCAAATTTCATTCTAGAACTTGTCATTATTTAGAATGGTGCTTGGACGTAGTTGACAGGAAACCCTGTACACGGGTTTCGTGCTACTAGGCACTCGTCAGCAAGGTGCACCTGTTTTCTTGAGGGAACTGGTGCTCCCTGGCGGATTTGATCTCAACTACCTCCAACTACTATCTAATTTCATAATAATGCACGCAGTGTCGAGTCACCTAGACTGGTGGCCACATTGCAACATGGTCGATAGCATTCGATCTGCACTAATAAGGACTAGACATGCATGACATTGATCACCACTCAGTGATCAATCAACTGTAGAATTAGGTAATCTTATACCTTTATCTGACAAAATGAATGGTAACTGTTAGGATTTATTTATGAACTATTATCACATATATTTTTATTGTATATTACGTAACTATATTATATGTACATTCACATTTCTTTCGTTATGAATGTTCATTTGACCTATAAACTATCATGATGATACAATTTACTATTTCTAAGTTACTCTCAATGTATTAGTTAAAGTCTCTCATATATTCACATCTACCTAATCAGTTAGACGATTTAGACTTCGCAGATGATTTAGCCCTCCTATCGCATACACACAAACAGATGCAAACAAAGACGGCCAGTGTGGCAGCAGTCTCTGCATCAGTAGGCCTCAGCATACACAAAGGGAAAACCAAAGTCCTCAAATTCAAAGCGGAAAACAACAATCCAATCACTCTTGATGGCGAAACTCTGGAAAATGTAGAGTCCTTCACATACCTAGGAAGCATCATCGATGAACAAGGAGGTTCAGATGCAGACGTAAAGGCAAGGATTGGCAAAGCAAGGACAGCATTCCTACAATTAAAGAACATATGGAACTCAAAACAACTTTCAACCAATATCAAAGTGAGAATCTTCAATACCAACGTCAAGGCAGTTCTACTGTATGGAGCTGAAACTTGGAGAACTACAACAACCACCAACAAACCGACTTCCAGCTGAAGAAGAAATTAGGAAAAGACGATGGAAATGGATAGGACATTCATTACGCAAATCGTCAAACTGCATCACGAGGCAAGCCCTAACTTGGAATCCTGAAGGGAAGCGAAAAAGAGAAAGGCCAAAGAACACATTGCGTCGGATAATAGAAGCAGATATGAAAGCGATGAATTACAACTGGACGGAGCTAGAAAGGATTGCCCAGGACAGGGTTGGATGGAGAATGCTGGTGAGCGGCCTATGCTCCTTCACGAGGAGTAACAGGCGTAAGTAAGTAAGTAACCTTAGGCTTGATCGTGATCTTCATACAGTGAAAACTGATATTCATGTTCTGAACTCAAATGAATAGGACTAGATGAGAACAATCAATATAAACTCAGAGTCGACTTTAGGCTATTGGTATTGATTAACATATCATTGGTTTGACATAGTCATTACTATAGTCAACAAGAACACGAATGGGGACAATCGAATGTATTTGAGCGCAAAATTACAGAACATTTCACTAAAATCAAAGAATCATGCAGTAAATTATTCATTTACAAAATGTCCATTAGTCATCTCAAACTTGACTGTCCCTTTTGTAAATATCAGTCCATTGTCTCAGATTTCATTGTTCCTGCATATTCATAAAAATTACGTTCCGTTTCCGCTTCTTCCTTATCGATCTACTGATATACATTCTATGCCTGATCACGGTTATATATTACTTATATGGACATAAGTAGTTAGACATTAACACCGTTGGATGCCGGCTCAGTGGTCTAGTTAGTTAAGCGCCCGACGCGAAACTGATAGGTCCTGGGGTCGAATCCCGCGGAGCCCGGAATCGTGGATGAGCACTGTCACTGAGGAGTCCCATAATAGGACGAAACGGCCGTCCATTGCTTCTAGGTTTTCCATGGTGGTCTAGCTTAAATTGACTCATTATTTCAATCAGTGAAATTACTAAAATCTCCACAAAACCCATTCTGATAAGTAACTTACACTACAATTGGATGATCTTATTACATGATATTTGAAGGATCATAAGACATAACAGAAACTGTATATCTAGATGGAAACAAAAATTGAATTTTATTTAACAAAGTTTCATTACGATTTGATTATAGTTAATTTGATAATTTCATTAAATTAAACCATAATTATCATCATAAGACAGTTCATTTTATCCATCCAATAGTAGTTTGACACTTTGCCTAAAATACAAATATAAAAGACAAAATATCACATTCTACTTGTAAAATATAGACAACTTTGATTAGTAAATGTGAATGATAACTAGTATTGAAATCCTGGACGAGCGTCTCATTTTATCTGAGACTCGTCTGTAGGATGTATCTACATCCTAAAGTTATTGTTCACTTCGAAACTTGAACTTCATACCGTTCTCTCCAAACATCATCATGTTATCCACTTAGCTATTGAGTCCTGATAGCTATTGGCTTGAGCAATTGGGTATATATATATATAAGACAATAATTTAAAATACATTATATTACAACAAATTTAGAATCATTAAACATTCGAAAGAAACTCATAACTTACGCGGTTGTGTTTAAAAAACTACAATACAAGAGAATTCATTTAAATAATAAAGGCTTTAGAGATTAACTAAAATGAATGACTTGAAGATTATTCTTTTTTATAAAAAGACTATTCATTCACAGAGCTGTTTACATATCTCAATGAATACCGGATTGTTCTGGAAAAGCAGCATGTCTTTAGAATAGATTATTCTTTTCTCATTAAGTTTTTGGTGGCTCGTGAAAGGTGGTGCGCTTTTTTGAAAATCAAAAGTTATCTATAGACGTAGCTTACAGTGACTTCGGCAAAGCTTTCAATAAAGTTCTTCACAATAGACTGTTATAAAAGTTAAGATATTTCGAGGTTGGAGTCAGTCTATTAATGTGGATAAAAGATTTTCTAGTTGGGCGTCATGATGAGTGCTGGTGAACTCATAGTTGTCTAGCTGGGAAACTGTGCTTAGCGGAGTACTTTAGGGTACAGTTTGGAGGCTAGTGTTATTCCTTTTGTATTGAAATGACCTTTTTCGTCTCCTAACATCGTCACTTTTTCTATATACTGACGGTGTCAAGAAATGGATAGCGATTACTGGTAAAGATAATTGCTTAGAGATTTAAAATGACCTGAAGAAATTATATGCTTGATCTCGAACTTGGCAGTTGCCGATAAATTTTTCCAAGAGCATTGTAACTTATGTTGGTCATCAAGGTACAGAAATACACTTGATGAATAACATTGAGTTACATATTGTCCAGACACACAATGACTTAGGAGTCGTCGTTAGCTAAGACTTAAAAACTACTTCACACTATCGTGTGATAGCCGCCACAGAATTTAGAACACTATGGTCAATACTCAGAGCCTTTAGCCACGTTGATGCTGAAACCTTTTAGACTTTGTATACGGCGTTTATGCCTCATAAACTCGAGCACCATATAAAAGCAACTACCCTTTACATAATACGAGACAGTGATCTGTTGAACAAGGTTCAGAGAATCACAACTAGGCTGAATACCGGAATAGCACCACTGATTAAATTAAACCTAATTCTATTGTCATACAGAAGAACCAGAGGCGAATTGATCATGGTTTTTTTCGATTACTTAGTGATAAAATTGCATCTGATATGCCCGAAATCTTCTTATTTTCCAAAACAGTGAATTAACGAGGACACTTTATAAACGTTTACAAACCCAGAACGAATTAATTGTACATTGACTGTCAACTTTCCCATTGAATCATCACCGAATAGGATCGATTACCTCAACACATGATCGAAGCTCCATCGGTTGACGCTTAGATAATCTAAGAGATCATAATTATTAATACTAATACAGGCCACCTATCCACCTCGGGGCTGCTAACCACCTTCCCCATCTTCCTTTTTTCTCCGGGCTAAAAACGTGTGGTAGCCCAAGAGAGGCTCTAGGGCGTTTGGCACATTGTATAATACTACTGAAAAGCAAAAAAACCAGAGATGAATTTGTTTAAACTTACTTAAGAAAGTTCAATGCACTCCTTTTTTATGATAGAAACATGAATGTGATAAACTGCTCATAGTGTTTAACAGTATAAGTGATCGAATTAAGTACTATAAAATTGACTATTCATAGACCGTCTGGTCACTGTTTATTTAATTGTTTACAAATTCGCTCTGTTCATCAGCGTTGTATATCAATAAAACATCCTTTAAACATATCTATATGAATTATATTGAATCAGTGACTTATTTTACAAACAAAGAAAAAGCGTTCGTGCGATACCGAAAGCCTGAAGTTCGAATCCCGCGAGCGAAATCGTGGTTGCTCTTTTGCTGAGGAGTCCCACAACAACAATTATGAGGATATCAGCTCTTTGTTAATGAGTGTCATACGAATATAATTGGTTGAATGGAGAATGTAGAAGTGTCAAAGATGTTCGAAAACACACATTAGATATGTAAACTGAAAGGAATGTATTTCATTTTACTTACCTCAAACCACACAAAAATATGCTACACAGTCATGAGAATTGCAATCTTTCATATATTACTTAGAATAGAAAAGAATTTATTATTATTTGGGGACAATAAACACTTTTTGTAAGCAATGATAGATAGTGGCTAGCAGTGGAATCCAGTTTGAAGCGCGTTCGTCTTATTTTGGATTCATCAGCTGGATGTAGCTGCATCTCAGTTGATGTTCAATCTGGGACTCGAACCCAGTACCATTGTCTTCAAATGTCATCACTATATCTACTTTATCTATGAGTCCCGAATAAGACGAACGCGCATCCTGGATTCCACTGCTAGCCACTATCCATCATTGCTTAAAAAAAGCTTGTGAATTAAGGCAATTTAGAGGCATAAGCACAGTATGCATATATGTAAATAACAAACTGATCAATTCTAGTCTTAAACTTCAATGGGAAGATACAAGCCAAACAATACCGAGTGAAATAAACACTTTTGTTTCTAATCCTGATGAAGTGCGAACAAGTTTGTTGGACGAAATGTCGAAATTGTTTATATTCCAGTTGATGAGATTCTTTCAAGTATAATTTTCATATATGTAATATCTTATCTATACTTGGCGCCTAATTTCTGTCACACTTTTAGTGGCCCGGGAACTGACTCCATTTATATCGAAATATTCATGTCGCTAATCCTTATATATAAGCATCGACTTCAATCGCGTTAGTGTGGAACGGAATTGAGTAAATCAAATACGAAAATGAAGTTTTGAATACGTATATTTTATACACTCATTGATTTGAGCAGACAATCAGAGGAATGTAGCGAAGAGGAGAGAATGAAATGAAACGGTGCGCTGTTGTGAAAGCGTATGAGCCAACTCGATTTAACTGAGCGTTACTTAATATCTGTGGTCGAACAAAAATAACACAGTAACAGTGATGAGCATGATAAGATGTAAACACACACACATACTCTTATATAAAAACAGTCATGGTTGATAAGTGAATAATTACCAAAGTCAAAGCGTGACTAAAGAAGAATGGATAAATTCGTCATTAAGTCAGCTACAACGTAGGATAAGGCACATATGTGCATCGGTTCAAGTTGTCATAGCTTATTAGCACAACAAGATGAACACCGGATTTATAGAAGTAGTTAATTCAGTGGTGGTGATATATACCTCTAACAGCACTCAATGATTAAATTGGCCTGTCTGGAAGCTAGGATAAGTTATATGGGCTGCTTAACATAGTAACCGACACTACAAACTATTTGTAGATCATGATATTGTTTAATAGTTTTATGCTTTCAAAGGATTCCGGATGAGTTTCCGGCATATAGTGTTGAATTGTTTTCCCTCTTATATGTAAAGAAAGACATAACCATGGAAAATGTTGTTAGATTTGTAAACTGTAATGACATTGTAACTTACTCCCATGATGAAGTTCTACAATGTACAAACAAAAATCCATCAATAAAACTTTATTGAACATTTTCGCTTAAAAAAACCAAGTAATTAAGAAATATATTTGTATAGGAAGGGGTTTTTTGTGGGGATTTTAGTTATTTAATAGTTGAATTCATGAGTCAGTTGAAGCCAGACTTCCATGGAAACCCTGGAAGCAATAGTTCTAGTACGGGACCCCCCAACAGCGGGTGATCAATGTACCGTTCTGCGGGATTCAGACCCAGAACCTATAGGTATCGGGCAGGAGCATTCAATTTAGGCTGGAAAAAGATTAGATTTTCATAAGTGATTGTACTTTTAAATAAAATGTGAAGGATGATGAATAAGTAAATTCATTTTGTATTGTTCCTTTGAATCTTCGCATTGATGTCTATGGTGGCAATTGATCAAGCTCTTATTAGCATATGTACTTGGTGTATGGATTGCCTCTATATTACCTAAAGTCACAAGCATTATGAGCAAAAAGATGGATGGTGGTTATCAGTGGAACGGCTGATGCGTGATTCATCCTATTTGGGACTCTTCTGCTAAATGTACTTACATCTTAGATTTGGTGTTTACTCTGATGTTCAGAACCAGTACAGTTCACTTCAACCAGCATCACGTTATCCACTTGGCTACTGAGTCCTGATAATCATTAGCTTGTGCAATGAGGTGATATATAAATCAAGTCCTGGTGTGACACATCACATCCAAGATACAGTTATATCCAGCTCATATATCCTAAATAGATCAATACCCACATCCTTGATTCCACTACTAGCCACCATCCATTTTTTCCTATCATGAATAATTAGGTTCAATGTATTCGTTTGTAAATGTTCATAAAACTATATACATAGTTGAATTTCCATATGTAAACGATATATTTTCTTTTAGATTGAACCAGTAATGTACACAACAAATTTATGTATCAAGATTACGTCATAAGTTCTTGATTCATTGAATACATTTCGGAGCACATCAACTAGATAAATTGAACATTTCGTAGATATAAAAAAGGTGATTTTGATGGAGTTTTGTTCTCTAAACTGGATCGTTTGATTGTGGAGTTTATAATTGTTCTTCTGAACGACATTATCACCATAAACTTCAGATAGAAGTTGATGAAGATGAAAGCTCCATGAGCAAACCATTCAGCTCAGAGTACAAAACTGCAAAATCATCCACTTGAGCCACAAATCTTCTCCATCATCTCAAAAAAAAAAATACGAGAACAATGCACTTACGAATTCGATGTTCCTATTTGAATAAACAAAGTACAGTTGAGATCAATTTAGATTTGGAATGTTTAAAATATTTCAATGAGAAAATTTTGAAATGAATTAGACAAGATTTAAGATAAAAGATCTTGGATTTTGGCGCGAAATCTGTTCATTCATTTAGCTAAACAACATTTTGGCACTTTAGTTCAGTGAGTTCATGATGATTACCTTAAAACTAGTTCTTACCCCCAACCATCAACTCCGAATCATAATCCTTATACTTCACACACGTTTATAACTCTCATTTAGCTTGAAGGAACAGTGAAATATCACTGAGCCCTAGACAAATCATCCAGCAGTTAGATTTCTGAAAATCAAATAGATCATTGATCCTCGTCAAAGTTAAGGAAAACCAACGCGCATCAGTTAATCGTACGCAATGCATTGATACATGTTGTGGTTACATCAATATATTTCCATAATAATGTCCTTTGTGTTATACGATCTTCAAAGCATCTTTAGTACTTTGATATGTCGAAGGGGTAATCCACTTTAGATGTTAACCACGAGGTGTGAGTTCAAAGTTAGCTGTTTAGTCACGCTATTCCTGTCTAACTCGACTAAGCTTTCAATCATTCGACATAGGTCATCTACCTTTGTAATCTACAAACTGTAGTAAGTAATTAGACACTCTTAAAGCTATTTTAATGTTACTCAAAAGTCATTCATTAAGTATAGTCTCATCATGAATCATCTTTGACAGATTGAAGAACCAAGAAATAATCAAGCAATTCATAGACAAAGATTATATAATAACAATATTTAATAACATTCAACATACCATTACAAAATAGAAATCCAGATTCACATGAGAGTATGAATAGAAACGAAATGATAATCAATGCAAACATCATTTGATTATGCATTTGTATAGAATACCATTTGTATTCTCTTTAAATAGATGTGACATTAATATTAATCATAATAAATCCACGCATATTACATAATTCAATTACGTTTAACTGACCTAATCAAAACTTTGAGGAGGTATCTAAAAATAGTATCTCTTTATGTCTAAGAAGAACACATGTATCTTCTGAATAGTTACTCACCTAATCGATATGTTCGTAATTATTCTATATCAAATACGAAAAAAGAGAAGAAAAAGTAAAGAAGAACGAATATATGTCATATTAAATAAGTTGTTTTACTTGTACCTACGCATTAATGTTTAGGACTGCAATTGATCTGTATCTTATTGGCATATATATGCATTCTGTACGGATTGCCTTAATATAGTCTTAAGTTACAAGCTATTTAAGCAAAGATGGTTAGTGGCTAACAATGGAATCCAGAATGTACGTTTTGTTCTATTTGAGACTCGTCAGTAGGACTCGAACTCAATACTGTCCGCTTCAAGCGCCATCGCGTTATCCACTTAGCTACTAAGTCCTGACAGTCATTGACTTGTGCAATGTGGTGAAGTTTAAATTCACTTGGTGTTGTGTAACTAGTATCTTACCACTGTTATTTCGGACTACAATTGATCAGTCTCTGATTGGCATATGTGTACACTGCACGGATTGTCTTGATATAGTCTTAAGTCATAGACTTTTTAAGCAAAGATGGACGAAGGTACATCAAGCTGACGAGTCCTAGATGTGACGAAACACACGTCTTGGATTCCAATGCCAGTCACTACTCATCTTTGCTTTAAATAAATCGAATAAGTTTGTTACAAACAAGTTAAATAAGTAGTATATCGTGATTATTCAGATAATTAATCATTGTATTATATCAAAGTCTTTTATTGAATGTTTATTTGTATGATTACTAACATGTATTAGAGATAAAGAATAATACCCTATTCAACATTCGATTTATATAAATAAAACTTTTTCAGTGAGTAGGCTTTTGTGTAATAAATAATCAAATAGAATAGTTTCAAAGTTGTTCTGTGATGGGAAACACTTGAAATGCCTATAAGTTTTCCTTACGGGGTTCAAACTCATTTGTTACACATAGCAAAAGCTATAGGGGATCAAGCCAACAATCCAAGTCTTTTTATTCATAAGGTATTTGTTAGACCATTATCTCTTCATTGGCCTTAATAAATGATCTAATTTATCATTATATTGCATACTTCATGTTCGTTTACTTTACTTCACCCTCTCCCACCTCGTTTCCTTTGCACGAATATACTTTTCACAGTCCAATTATCTGATCACTTCTTATGACGTAATCAGTGTCTAATCATTGATCGATCCAAGCCTTTATTATTCTTATCACAACTAGTGCACTTCTCATCACGCTACCAGTTAATGTGATCTATTCCACTGTTATCATCATTGAATCATAAACTGCCTACATTCGTTTAATAATTTCGTATTATTATTGTATATTAGAGTAAAGTGTGATCAGGATCGTAGGGTGGAACTGCATATGCCATACATACTAAATAAACTTTGTCTATGACCACAAAGTACATGTGTGGATTTTCATACTACTTTACTACGAGGGTATTGCATAACTCATCTCACTCTTGATGTTTATACAAGTGAATTTATGTATAACGTCATTGTACTCAATCAGTATAAAGATAATAAAAACATAGTTTCATGGTAGAGAAATTATGTCTCACAGTGAAATCTAGAGTGTGGGTTTCATTGTATTTTGAAATCGTCAGCTGAATGTAACTACATCTCAGTGTGGATATTTGAATCGACTCGAACTTAGAACAATACACCTCAAAACGTGTTTTCTATTTATCATTTATGATCTATATCAATATTACGGATAGTTTGTTGATTTATTCATAAATATTGGTGCAAAGGGGCACCGAATACATATGCTCCGCACAAGTCCCTTGACTTGTATGTAGGCTGTGCTGTTGCCCGGCTGCCCAGACCGAAGTAAGTGGTTTTCTTAGATGGCCACATTCAGAGCCTTCGACCTATAGGTTTAACCCACAAGGCAGTGGAGCAACGTCAGGAGATGTAGTCGTATGATAGCCGGTAACCAACGGTTGGTTCATACACCATTTGTTCCATCAGGATCTTGGAATCCATGTACACCAATGGTTTGGAATGAGTGTTTTCCAACTGCCACAGTTGGACTCTCCGTGTTCACTAACCCGGTTAAAATGCCTGAATACTTCTTGAGGCCAGTCACTAGTGAGCTTATGTTAATTAATATCAGAAGGCGTTTTGTGGTTAATATAGTACATTGAATAGTTGAGATCATGAGTCATGTTTATTTACCGTCATTATCAAATTAATACAGCAGATCAAGCATTCATCATATCCTATGAACAGTTTGTTCAAAGGAATGTGCACAACTTATTTCATGAATACACAGAATAACTATATACTTCTTGGTTCTTATACTTTATCATCATGTTAGTTATCAGTGATATCTATGATATTTGTGTAAAAGTACCTACATAACTATCCTATAAACAGATTTATCCCATCTATGTCTTTTAAGTTAACCAACATTAAATTCGACATCTTCAATACGAACATCAAAACAGTTCTATTGTAAGGATCTGAAACTTGGAGAACTACTGTAACGATCATCGAATAAAGTACAAGTATTTATAAACATTTGTTTACAGAAGATATTGAATGTTCGTTGACCGGATATCCATCAGCAACAGCCTACTATGGTAGAGAACAAAACAACTTCCAATTGTAGAGGAAACTAAGAAAAGACATTGGAGGTGGATAGGACATACATTCCGAAAATCATCAAACTGCATCACGAGACAAACGGAAACTGAGAATCTTGAAGAGAAACAGAAGTGGGAAATACCACGAAACATGTTGCATGTGGAATTGGAAACAGAAATGAAAAGGATGAATAGCAACTGATTTCAATGAAAAAGGATTTTTCAAGACAGTGTTAGTGATGGTGAGTAGTCTATGCTCTTCTAATAGGGGTGACATGTGTAAGTAACTATAAACTTTAAACGTGTCACTACTTCACACGAAAAGCCTTTAAAAATTATCTTTTACCTAATACATACCATGCAGCAAATGTATTACTTTTTCAGCTACTTAATACTCGAATTCTATGTATGTTGTAGGAGAGTTCATAAACTCCTTACGTAAAAAGCATTTTAATATAACGAGAAAACCTCTACTTGGTAATAATAGACATTTCATTCAACTGATAAACTTATATTATATCCCTTTTAACCGAGAATAAATGGATCAAGTTGATATTGAGTCATGATGTTTGTACATGGGTCATGGATACTGTATGGTTACTGAAATTCGTACGGTGAATAAACCTTTATCATATTAATATCAGATGGGTTTTTGTGGATACTATAGTAATTTCAATGATTAAGATCATGAGTCAGTTGAACCTACAGCACCATGGAAAACCAGAAAGCACTGGACAACCGTTTCGTCCTATTGTGGGACTCCCTAGCAGTGCCCATCCACGACTTCACCCCGTACGTGATTCGAACCCAGGACCTACTGGTTTCACGAGCGAGCTCTTAATCACTAGACCATTGAGCCGGCATCATATTACTCTTATCCCAAATAATTCACCAGTAGTCTTACACTTTCATGATTGTTTAAATGAATTCACTTATAAACATATAAATAAGTAAAAAACAAATTTTATTGTTAATTGAATGGAAAACTATTGACATTTGAAACGTTCTACAGTCTTCATTTATCCACTGAAAAAGTTGCTAATAGTGTTCCTAAAATACAAAAAAATATGATGAGATGATTAATTATTCTTATTTTAAGGTAAACTCAGATTTATATAATAAGGATACAAATTTAGGACTGAAATTGATCAGTCTCTTGTGGGCATATGTGAATTGTGTACCGACTGCCTTGATAAGCTTTATAAACGAAGGTAGATAGTTGCTAGCGTTCCGTTCTATTTTAGGACTCATTACCTGGATGTACCTGTATCTTAATATGAATGTCCATTCCGGAACTCCAAGCTAAGTGGATCACGTGATGGCGTTTTTAAAGCGAGTAAATATCAACACTGGAATGCAGTTACATCTCAGTCAACGAGGCTCATATAAGATGAAACGCCCATCTTAAATTTTACTATGAGCCACTATTTATTTTTGTTTACAGACTAGAATGATTTTTAATGAATTGATTGAAAATGAATCTGGTTATTTAGACTAGACATTCAAAACGATTTTCTTCATCATATGAAACTAATGTTCAAAACACACAAGGTTCATATATAACTATAGATTATATATCTTACATATAGCTCAGATACATATTAAAACGAAATAGTCGTCTAATACTTCCAGATTTTCAATGGTGGTTCAGCTCGGATGGACTCGCGAATTGAATTGTGAAGATTATGAATTAATTTAAAGTAGAATTATGAGATCTAATTGTAAGTTAGAGAATGATTAAGGTTTAATTAAAAAACATACCAAGTTGAAAGCAATGTGCTACAATGAAAGAAACAATTTGCAAACATATATTATATGTTCAGAAGGGGTTTGTGGAGATTTTAGAAATCTCACTGGTTGAAATCATGAGTCAATTGAAGCTAGACCACCATGGAAAACATGAAAGCACTGAACAGCCGTTTTGTTCTATTGTGGGACTCCGCAGCAGTGCGACATGCCTTGCGAGATTCGAACTTAGGAACTATCAGTCTCGCGCTGGTCGCTTAACCAATCAGACCACTGAGCCGGCCAGCATTCCACGGTGTTAATGTCTAACTTCAACCAATCCAAGAAATTGAGCCACCGTACAACATTGTCTTCAGTGAGTTAATATCTCACAATAGACCTGGTTGAACTCCACTATTGTGGGATGGTGGATGCGCACTGCTGAGGAGTCCCACAATGGGACGAAACGGCTGTCCAGTGCTTCCAGGTTTTTTATGGTGATCTAACTTCAATTGACTCATGATTTCAATC